GCCCTGGGGCTTCCAGGCTGGGTCTCCCGTCAGCCTTAGTGGATGCTGCTGAGCAGCTTTCTGGAATAGTCATTGCCCATGAGTGGTGGAATGGATGGATGAATGAATGAATGAATGAATGAGTTTTCTCTTAAAGTCCCAGGCATGGAATGCAGGACTCTGGAAGCCGCAGCCATGGTCACTACAGTGCATGCGACACTGTCACCTCCCTCCTGGGTCTCCGCACAGGTTCATGCTGGCCACCTCCAGGGTGGGTGCCGAGCTGGCCCTGTCTCAGAGCCCAGTGCACACACCTGGTATACAGCTGGTGCTCCATAGGTGCTAGAGGGCCTGGCTTTGGATAAGCACAGAGCTGGTCCGGGTCTGTAATCCTAGGCCCTTAAGGGCCCCAGTTCTGTGCTGCTCCCCTTGGGGCGCAGAGAGGGAGCTCAGAGCAGCAGTGCCTGGCAGGGGCTGCAGCCCCTGGCCCCTTTCCTCCATTAGATTTATTTAGACAACTGAGCCATAGCCTGGGAAATGGATCAGATTTCAGCACTGACAAAAATAAAAACAAACTTGCCCGCCCCCACCAAATCCAGCACTCCCGCCCCCACCTCTCTCTTGGAGCCCCCCATCAGGGAACCGTGCCTGTCAGCTGCAGGGAAGGAGGGGGTGGTCACCATGGTAACCGCAGGCCTCTGGCTGGCTGCTGGAGAGGAGGCTGCCCTGCAGGCCACTCGGGCATCAGGCACTGTCCCTCCACCAGCTCACTCTTCTATCTGGACCTGGAAGGTGCCAGTGGGCATGGTGGCTTCTCAGGACACTTGTGGGAATGACATGCCCTGATCTAGCTTGGCTTTTTCTTGCTAGGGACCTGAAGGTCATCACTGCTGCCTGCTATAAATTTCCCTTCTTTTCCAACCAGGGGCGGACTCTTCCCCTTCCTGACCCCCTGGATGTCACACCGGCTTGGACACCCAGGGAAGCCATGGCCAGATGGACCAATGGCCATGCTCGCAACTGACCCAGGCCCGACCTCCACCTCCTGGGCCTCCATGTGTGGACCTCTTGCCTGTAGCTTGTGTTTGCTGCAGGTTTAAATGAGATAATGCATGCGAGTTGATTAGACAGCTGCTTGGCAAACAAACACTCAGGATCACTTAAGAAATGTTTGTGATCATTGACGTCATTACTGTGGTGCTTGGCACACAGCAGGAGCTCAATATATGCTCCTTAATTCCCTATCTGGCTCTCAGGGCCTAGTTCTGAGGATTCTGGGAAGCCCTAGAGAGGGAATGTGGGGAGGGTGGTGTAGCTGGGGCATGCGATGAGGGTCCAGGCCCTTCAGGTGAACTCCCCCAGGAGCAATGCTGCCGCAGGGGAGCTGGGGTGCTGGGAGGGCCCCGTAGCCCCCGAGGATCCCAGATTGGTTCTCTCCTGAGATCCTGGCACCTGGCCGGGCGGCTTTGCCTGCCAAAGAACTGTATCGATTGGATCGTCATTGATCTGTTTCTCCATCTGCACTCCTTAGAGATGCTCACCGCTGTTGTCAGGGATCTAATCAGCTTTAGCAACCACCTTGTGGCTGTTCTGAGTGGGCGGCCAGATGTGGAACCTGGACAGGTGGGCAAACACAGGCTTCCCATGTGGCTGTGCAAAGGGGGCCATGGCTCAGGGACCCTGGGGCTGGGGAGTGGTCGTGAGCATCCTTTCTGCATTGGGGCTGCTGAGGGGCTTGGCCTGGTCTCTGTGTCCGTGCAGTGAGGGGTTGGATCAGCTGCTCTGTGTGGACCTTGACAGGGCTGCCCTGTGACAAGTCACTCTGACAGAGCGAGGTCCTGGATGGCTGGGTCCCAGCTTCGTGGCCTCAGATGCCAGTCGGAGTGTTGAGTCTGGTAATCAGAGGCAGCAGGGAGCTTCCCAGGCTCAGGCTCTCTCCTGCTCTGCTTGGAGCCTCCAGGCACTGCTTTGAGCTGGAGTCCCAGCTCTGTGTGACCCTGGGCAAGTCACAGCATCCCCCCAGGCCTGTTTCTTTGTCTGTCCCCAGTGGACTGTGGTGACAGCTAATCTTGTGTCCCTAGGGTGCCTGGCATGCAGTAGCTGCGGTGACTGCCAGATTCATCACTGCGATGCTTGTTGGACCAGAGCAGCGGAGAGTACTCCAGAGAGCAGGCTGAACACTGCCCTGGGAAGGATAAAAGATACTTCAAGGGAAGCTGGATAGGGCTATGAGGGATGAATAGGAGTTTGCCTAGAGGGAAGGAAATGCATATTTGAAGTGTGTGACTAGCGACAGCAGGAAGTTTAGGGCTTGCCAAGCTTAGTGAGAGATTAGACCAGAAGAGTTCCTTGGGGTCAGAGTCTAAAGGGCTGTGGTCAGGCTCAGGGGCTGCTGGGAGCCCCCAAAGGCTTGGATAATCAGAGTCTCAGGCAGATTAATCTGGCCATGACAAACTAGCTCCCTTCTGCATCTTCCTGTGCCTCCTTGCAGCTGGTGACCTTGGGCCAATCTGTTTCCCTTGCTGTCTTGGTTTTCTCATTTGTGAGCAGGGCTCACTCTCCAGCAGGTGGGAGAGATTGGTGCAGGATGTTTGCAAATTGCCAGATTGGGCCGAGACAGCTGCCTGCTGATACATGGGCACATTGTTGGGGCAGAGACCAGAGCAGGAGGCCCAGGGAGGCTGGTGCAGTGGCCAGGAGGAAGGGGAAGCCCATGGCTGGACGTCACAGGGGAGGGCACTGGCCCGGGAGTCCAGCAGGCCTGAGGTAAATCTCAGGTCTGCTGCTTCCAGGCTGTGACCCAGGAGAGGCCCCTAATTTCCCCAAGCCTCAGTTTCCTCATCTGTGAAATGGGCCTGCTGACCTGTTGGGCTCAGGGCCCTGGGAGGCTGCAGCTGGCCTCCCTGGCTCCTGTGAGCCCCTTCTGGGTTCACTCTGAGCCAGGACCTGCAGAAAGGGCAGAGGCACTGAGGACACGGCTGGAAGGAGAGGGAGCATGGGGTGGGGGAGTGGGAGGGATGGGGGACGTTCTCTGTGTAATTAGAACGTTTGAACTTCAAGAAAGTTAATTAATGATGAAGCTGCTGCCGGAGCAGTGCTCGGGCTGGAAGGAGGCCCTGGCAGCGACTGGAATTAATTACAGGCTGTGGCAGGAGAGTGGCAGTGGGGTGGGGGACAGGAAGGAGCGGGGCAGGGATGAGGCACAGAGAAGGCGGCATCCCAAGGTGGGCGAGGGCAGGGTGGGAGGGGCAGTTGCCACAGAAACCAGGTCAGCCTCCCTGCAGGGTGGGGCTCCCCTAAAGGAGGGGTATCTGGGTGGGGGTCTTGAGGGTGACGCCACTGAGCTGCCAGCCGGGCTGAGGGCGAAACTTTCCTCAAAGGCACTCAAGAGTCCCTGGGGCTCCTAGAGAGACATGTTCGCTCACCAAATCTTTACTGCGTTTCTACAAGGTGCCTGTTACTGCTGAAGTCTTGAATGTAAAGTCAGTGTCCCTGGAATGTGGCTCTGCACAGTCAGTAGTCGCTGCATGGAGGTGTCCAGTGACGTTAAAGGGTCAGCTCTGCAGGGCCTGGGGAGCGTCTGAGGTAGTGGGCAGCATTGCAGAGGCCCTGAGGTTGAGTGTGCCCGAGGCCTCTGAGGAGCCGCAGGAGGGTGTGACTGGGGTCAGGCAAGGTAGGGCTCAGGAGGTGGCCGGGAGCGGGGGCCTTGTGGTGTGGGGCGGACTTCCAGGTGGACGCTAGAGGGAGGGAGGTGCCTGTGCGGCTTTGGGAGCTCAGTGCTGCTTGGGGAAAGGGTCCTGGCGGGCCAGGGGGAGCTTCAGAGGCCCAGAGAGGGAAGGGTCTGTCCCAAGACCCCAGACCGGTCAGTCAGTGACTGGAGTGCAGACCAGGTGCCCTGCTCCCTTGTCTCGTAGCTCTCCCTGCACAGCGGCTGCTCTCCTCGAAGTTCTGGGTCAGGAAAGGGGCTGTGTAGGCAGCAGGGGGCGAGCTCTGCCAGCCTCTCCTCATAGAGAAGCAGAACCCACGCTGGCTTTGGTCATTGTTTATAAGGGCAATCAGGCTTCCTAGTCCGGAAGTTCACCCAGGAGTCTGACTCTGGTCATTTGTGCTGTGCATGGCTGAAGGCCTTCCTTGAGCTTTTTTCAACTAGGAACAGATTTTCAGAGGTCCCTGACTCAGGGATGATAGGAGACAGAATTTGGGGGGTTCTGAGCAGAGTTCATCTTTCTCATCTAGCAGATAGAGGAATGAAGGACACAAGCATTGAGGTACCTTTGCGTTCTGAGTTCTATGTTGCGGGGGTTTGGAATGGTGGCAGGGGACACAGTTAGTAGTCACTGCATGGAGGTGTCCAGAAGCTGGGGTGTAGGAGGGAGCTCCCTGTCCTGGTTCCTCAGTACCCCTAAGGCTCCTCTGGTGCTGAGTTAAAAGACTGTCCGTAGTTGGGCATGGTGGTGCAAGCCTGTAATCTCAGCACTTGGGAGGCTGAGGCAGGAAGATTGCTGAGAATTTGAGGCCAGCCTGGCAGTGATAGCCTGTCTGAAAAAAAAACCAAAATAAATTAAATTTTAAAAAGATTGAAGGCACCTAGGAACAATCTCTGGCTTGGCTCAGATGGGGGCAGGCCTGGGAGCACCAGCCAGAGTGTGGGTGTGAGCTCTCCCTAGGGGGTGGTGATGGCAGAGGGGCAGGGTGAGGTGTTCAGCCAGTCTTGGCGACAGAGCCACAGAGCTGGCCTGGCAGAGATGGAGGAGGGAGGGTAAAGGAAAAGGAGACAGAATCAGAGAAGAGAGGTGGCGGCTGTCAGAGGGAGGATGGGACAGTCTGCAGCCACCTGTTAGGAAGCCCCCCTTCCTGAGGGGTTCTCAGGCTGGGCCAGGGAGGGGATCCTGCTGGTGTGGCCCGCGGGGGCTGTCTGCTGTATTAGGGCAGCAGTGGGAAGGGGCAGATCCCAGCCACTCCTGAGTGCACCCTAGCCTCGCGGCGTGGTTCCCCCTCTGTGTCCTTGACTCCATGTGCACGTGGTTTGAGTGTGTCAGCATGCTGGTGATCCTGCTCAACTGCGTGACCCTGGGCATGTACCAGCCGTGCGACGACATGGACTGCCTGTCGGACCGCTGCAAGATCCTGCAGGTGAGGGGCCATCAGGGACCCAGAGGCTAGGCGGGTGCTGGGTGGTCATCAGGGTCGATGTGGGGAAACCCTTGTCCTGCTCTCCTGGCGTCCCCTCTTGTCACTCGGCTAGGGGACCAAGAGAATGGGCTTCCTGACCCTGGGCAAGTCTGTCCTCTCTCTGGACCTCAGTTCCCTCATTGGTGAAGTGGCTGCCTTCCACTCAGATCTTTGAGGTCACCCTGCCCTGGAGCAGGAGATCCGGGCCTTTGCCGGGGGCCCCTCCTGTCCGCTCCTGGGTCTTCCCCTCACCCCGGACTCCAGCCTCTTGAGTCCTGCTCCGAAGTTTCATGGTGTCCTTTGGCTTCTTCCTCCTTCCCCACAGGTCTTTGATGACTTCATCTTCATCTTCTTTGCCATGGAGATGGTGCTCAAGATGGTAGCCCTGGGCATTTTTGGCAAGAAGTGCTACCTTGGGGACACCTGGAACCGGCTGGATTTCTTCATTGTTATGGCCGGGTAGGTGCCGACGAGTGCGGGACAGGTCCCAGGTCACCAGACAGCCTGGGGTGAGGAGGAGGAAGCTTGTGGTACTGCGGGGCCTGGGAGCAGGGCATGGCGCCCCCTGGAGGCTGGGCTGGGACTGACAGACACTCCTTTTATTGACTCTGCTTTAGGCTGATGAATTCACTGCATGACTGAGGAAGCCACGTGGCCTCACTAAAGCCTTTGTTTCCTCATCTTTAAAATGGGTGTAAAGGGGGCTTGTGGAATAGCTCAGTTGTTTAAGCACCTGCTGTCCTAAACCTAGGGAGGAGCAGGGGACGACATTTCGAATCCTAGCTTCACATGTCTATCAGAACCACCCTTGAGGCAGCCTGAGCCTGAAAAAAAAAAAAAAAAAAAGTCCTTAACTTAAAAAGGGCCTGCCAAATAGCTCAGCGGATTAAAGCCCCTGCAAGCAGTTGCAGGGGCCAGGGGTTCAATCCCCAGGCCTAACCCCCGGGGTGTGCTGAGACAGTGATTGAGACTGGGCGTACTGGCGTGCACCTGTAATCCCAGCTCTTGGGAGGCTGTAAACAGGCAGATCACTATGAGTCCAATCTAGTAGTGAGACCCTGAACACCCTGTAGACCATCCCCCCCCAGCTAAAAAAAGAAAAAGAAAAGGTGTAGAAACAGTGTTATGTCACAGCGAGCCTCAGAACACTTTAGCTGGTGTTACTGTTATCATCACCATCCTGATAACTAGCAAGCTAGAGGCTGGGGGCCAATGTGGCACCCTCTGGGCCCAGCTCCTGGCGCTGCTGCTGAGCACACACTGCAGGAGATGAGAGGATCAGTGAGCCCAGCCTCGGCAGCAAAGTGATTCCTGTCACCATCGCAGGAAGGCCAGGTGGCCGCATCCTGGCACCGCTCTGAGCTTCTTTCCTGCTTCCTGGGTTGCACCCAGCCTCACGTCTATCCATCTCCCATAGCAAAGTGGGCCTCAGCAAGTGCTGGTGCTTCCCAGCTCCCAGCGCTGTGTCCTCCTGTGCTAGGACCCGGGCTTGCTTGCATTGTGGTTTGCAGACTGCATTTCACCCAGGGGCTGGGGTGCTGTCCTGAGAAGGTGACATGCAAGAGTTGAAGGTGACTAGCAGTGCCTACCAAGGAGTCAGTATGGAAGGATGAGGATGGAAGAAAAAGGCTGGAGGCCATGAGGTCAATGTATGTGTGTGTGTGTTCATGTGTGTGGGTCTCAGCATGTGTGAATGTGTGCATGAGCATGCCTGTGTGTATACTGCCACAGAAAGGGGACCAGGAAGCAGCCTCCAGGTGGCTGAGGAGGAGAGCAAATGTGCAGCATCCCACCAGGCAAGAGCTGAATGTATCAGGCAACGTCCCCAGTTGCTGGGACAAAATACTGACCCGTGAAGCTTAGAGGAGGACAGGTACATTGTAGCTCACAGCTTCACAGGTCTCAGTCTGTGGCTACCTGGCTCTCAGGCAGGGATGTCGTGACAGAAGTTTGTGGCAAAGGAGAGCTGTTCTGAAATCACAGGAAAGGGGCCACCAGAGACCAGATAGACGTAGTCTCCAAGGTCACACGCCCTGGCCTGTCTGCTTCGTGAAGGTCCCACAGCTCTGTCAGCTGCGAGCTCATCAGTGGCTTTACATACTTACATAGTCCAAGGACTCGCCAGGAGTCTCTTACTCCAGGCAGATGGGCCATCAGGATGAGCCAGCACTCTGAATCCACAGATCTGTGCCGGGGCGGGACGATTTGTCTCGTCGGTGTTTGCAAACGCCTTGCCCCTTCCAAGTGCCCCTTCCTCTCAGCTCTGTTCAGGCTCAGCCACGTTGTCCACAAGGATCTGGACCTAAAAGGGTGGTTGAATGGCTTCAGATGGCTCCCGCGTACTGTGTCTCCCCCTTGGTCCGTTAATTTGTGTTCTCGTTTTGATCTGGCTGGAGAACACACTTAAGAAGTTTTTCAAAGTAAAGGAGATTGGAGAGTGTCATTTTCAGTCTTGCCTGTCCAAGCGCATCTCTTTGATGTCAGAATGGGAAGGGCAGTGTCCGTATCTGCCTGGTTTGAGTCATTTCCAAGTCATGACTTTTCTGTCTTAGATCTCAGTATGCGTTGTGTCCTGCAAGTGCATGATTTAGGACTGCGGGTCCAGTGCACGACCGATTCTGATTTCTGAAAAGAGAACCCACTTTTTCCTCACTAGAAGCTTTTTGAGATTTCTCTTTACCTTTAGAGTCCAGATCTTTCTCAGGAGCATCTTTAGAACTTACAGAACAAAGACTCAAGTGTTCAGCTTGGGACCGAGATCTTTTTATTTCTTCTTGGGTAGTTATCGATTCTCAACTCTCTCCTTCTAGAAGATTCCCTTCTCTATCTTTTGTCCACATCTTTTCTCACTGAGGGTTCCTTCGTCCACTTTGGGAGTCACCAATGACCTTCCCAGCAGTAACCTTGCCCCTACTCTGCCCCTGAGGGAATGAATCACTGCTTTCCTCTGTCTTCCGTGTGTGTGTGTGTGTGTGTGTGTGTGTGTGTGTGTGTGTGTTTTCTCCTTTTTGAGACAGGATCTCACTATGTAGTTCAGGCTGTCCTTGAACTCATTATGTAGCCCAGGCTGCCCTCAAACTGATGGCGATCCGACTGCCTCAGCTTCCTGAGTGCTGGGATTATAGACATGTACCACTATGCCTGGTTCTCTGCTTGGTTTTTTTTGTTTTTGGTTTTCAGAACAGCTCGTGTCTGTTCTTGTTTTATGAATGTAATATCTACTCAGATCTCCTTCTGGATACTAATTAGGCTTTATCAAATGCCTTCCTGAGAGCTGGGGAGATCACTCAGTGGCATAAGCACCTGCCTAGCAAGCACAAGGTCTTGAGTTCGATCCCCAGTGGCACGCCTGTAATCCCAGTGTTGGGGAGGCTGAGACAGGAGGATCACTGCAAGTCCAAGTTGTATAGTAAGACCCTGTATTTAAAAAAAAAAAAAAAAAGATTTCCTGATTCTGGTAGTAACTTGGTGTCAAAGTGTACTTTCCAAAAGTTAAAAAAAAAGATCTTCCCACAAATCTTAGAGTGAACATGTGTTGCAGATTTATTCAGCTCATTAAGAAGGGGACCGGTAGAATTAAGAAAGCAGGCATCGGAGAAAGAATGTGGGTAGAGAGTGCTGTGAAACTCAAAGCTGCCTAATGACCGACAGGTAATAAAACCACAGCCTTTGGTGGCGGGCAGAGATCTTTTCTGTTGAGAGGAATCGTGTGCTTCTCTGCCAGATAAAAACTACAAATTAACGTGTAATTTCACGGCTTCTAGACCTTTAATTAACAAGAAATAGTGACCTAAGCGAAGGTTTATTCCCTTAGATAATGAAATAATCCATGAATAGGTGTGTGAAATTGTGTTTTAGAATGACACAGTAGGAAATACTGGCCACCTTATTTCCAAGTTTTTGGGATGATTTTTTTTTTTTTTTTTTTTTTTTTTTTTTTTTCAATTCCTTTCTCAAGGAAGTCATTTATTTTGTTGGCTTCTCCTTGTTCCTCCCACAAGGCTCCGCTTTTGGACTTAAAGGGCCTGTTCTATCGCTTGGTGCTTCCTCCTCTCTGCCCCGTTTATGAATAAAGACTGCGGGGCTCTGAGCCTTGCGTGCGGAGGGAGGAGCTGCAGCCAGCTGTGGCCTTGCGGGAGGTCTCTGGCGTCTCCTCTTAGTCTTTTGAGATTGGCTGGGTGGGATGGGGACCTGGGCGTGGTCGGCCCGCACCATACGCATCCACATTCTTTTGCGATGGGCGGGGCCCTGGACTTTTGCTGCATTTTACACTCCACGGATGATGTCCTGCCTGCCTGGGGCTCAGGTTCAACAGAGCCTTGTGTTGGTGGAGTCACGAATGTGCGGTGCCTGCCCTGTGCTGGATGCTGGGGACTCAGGTGAACCAGACCTAAGCCTGTCCTCAGAGTCTTTCTGATGCTCTCTGTCTGGGGAGTGGCAGGGTAGGGTGGCGAGTCACAACCCCGGGCCCCAGAGCTCAACCCCTTGGCTCACCCATCCCCTGCAGTCCCCCCAAGCTCTGCGCTATAAATGTTCTGTTTCCAGAGTAACAGGCCTGACATCCTGAGAATGTTTTCTTTCTCCCTGCCCCTCCCCTCCCCCAAATTACTGGCTCCTTGTTTGAGCTCTGGAGGATGACACAGAACCTTTGAGTTCTAGGGTTCCTTGGAGGTCACAGCCCCCATCCCCATGTCCTGTGTGCCTTTCACAACAGGTTTACTGTTCCCCTGCTGCCGCTGCAGGAGACTCCCTACCTCATGAGGCCACCAGCTGCTGACTGGCTTGGCCTGATGCGCTGGGAAGTCCTCTCAATGAGCTGAGATTTGTCTGCCAGTGGCTCCCTCCCATGGGTACCATTCATTCACTTACTCCTTCACTACGTCAACATGCATGGAGACCTGGGACATGCCAGGCCTTGTGCTGGTGAACAAGACAGACGCCCCTTGCAATCTCATGGAGCTCAGTGTTCAGGGGACAGATAAAAGACAGACCTTCTTCTGAAAAGTCCCCAATGTCCCCTGCCTGGTTTGCATTATGCTGTCTCATCCCCAGCAAGATTTCAGCCTCTTGAGGATGGTGGCTGATGGGGTCCAGGGCATGGGCCATGAAGTGCAGGCCGGCGGTGACTGCTGGGCTGTGCCCCTTGCCACCCTCAGGTTCTGTTTACAAGCAGGTGATTTGTTTAAACACAAATGCCAGTCTTGGTATTTACTGCAGTTACTTTCAGCTTTTGGGGGCCTCCTGCTGTCCCAGTCCAGCTGCTCTTGGTGTTGCCTTCCTGTGGCTGCCCAGCTCAGGATGCCAGCCCAACACCCCATTCCTCCAGGGCGTGACAGAGCCCCACTTTGGCATCACGCTTCTGGTGAAATGGAACCTCCTCCCATCTTTTCACTTAGGTGCACTTCCTGGCCCTTGTCCATTAGGAGGCCATGAAATATTCAATTACATCCTTGTTGAAC